CTCGAAGACTCCCAACGCCGTCCAAGCAACCATATAACAGGTCAGGTATGATGGAGGACTTCTAGAGTTTGGTTTTCGTTCGTCGGATTAAGAATTTCCTTTTCAATTGCCTACTCAGTCCAAAGTAGCACCTGTTGGCAAGAGTGATTCTACGTTTCATTTCAGAGCAGACGTTGTTGTTCTTTTTAATGCTTGTCTCTAGGTAGACGAACTTGTCTACGACGCCGAAGTTATGACTGTCACCAGTGTCGTGGATGTCGAGTCAGTAGAACACTCTTATAGAAGATAGTGCCTAGTCTATTTAGCTCTGCAGCACACGACAAAGAGCCACCCTGTCTCACTTTTGACTGCAAGTTCCTTTCCGAATATCAAAAACCTTCATACAGCTGACAACAAATTTTTGGGTTTTCACCTTCTCTGCGGGGTTGTGAGTCAACAGCGAGATCAAAGAGGCGACATTAAGTCCCCTGACAGCGCTCCATTAATCTTCAGCCTTAAATAAACTTCATTACTACATTTATTTCTACATATTTAGGGTTTAAACACCAAAGGCCCAAAAATTCAGCACACACACGTACATACATTCTTATGTGTCTGTATGATAAAGGCACCGAAATTCCAAAGGAATTGGCTTGACAACAATCAAATAAGCCAGGGTAACACAGCGCACAATAAATTTCAAAAATAAAAGAATTGGCAGAAACGAAATTCACAGCAGCATCAACACCAGCACTTAACATTAACGCCAACAACAACAGCAACAATGTATGTATAACCAGTGACAGCCCAACACTCGCCACAACACCGACTTTGACACGGACACAGGAATGTCTTTGATCCCATCAAACAAAAAAAAAAAACAAAAATTAAAAAAACTGGCAGTCATGCATGCGCCGAATGAATCGTTGCTTGGATTCTGGAGCTGCTATTGGTCGAGCCCGAAACTGCCGTTCCGGCGGTAGCGCCATCGACAGGCACTACAAATATACGAAACACCTTCTACAAATCAACCAGCTCGCCACGAGAGCTGCAGTGCAAAGCGCCAAAAGTATGTAGGCTTGTTTATCGGAAAGTCTGCCCAACGGCCACCACAGCCACAGCCACAGCCACAGCCGCCTGTCAAATTCAGAGGAAAAAGGTATTAAGATCAAACGATAAGATCAATGTTATTGCCGAGCGTGGCGCAGCATTTGCCGAACAACAAAAACTACTGCAACACCAGCAGAAAACAGAAAAAATGAGGTGAGAAAAAGGAAGAGTAAACGTCTGCAGCAGACTTTAAAGCGTACGTTACAACGACGGCAGCAAGTCCCGAAAAAATGTGAAGTAAACAAGATTCAAGACGAGCGAGCTGACGTGCAAACCTACCTATGGAAGCATACAAAAGCAAACAAAAAAGAACACTCGCACACACAAATGAGAAATTTAAGAATGGAGAATGTTGCACGGAGCATAAAGAATGAAGCGTAAGAAGATCAAACAAAAACTCAACGGGTATTCCTTCCTGTTCGAGGCTCAACACTACGGACGCTTAATAAAATGCTATTCAAGGTGTCAGATTTGTCGCCCTTCATTACCACTGCCAAATACAAAAAAAATAAACCAACGCACAGCTTGCTCGGACTCTGTCATACAATCAGCAGCGCCAAATCGGCTGAAACAAAATCAAAAAGAAAGAATTATCAAAAAAAAAAAATGCCGAGGAAAAAATTCCTCAGAATCGACACATTTAAACGTAAAAAACGGGCACACCGACGAGCGCACGAAACATGAAAGGGACAAAACGCCGTTGTCGCCAACAACAATACAGAGCCGCACAAACATATCTGTTGTGCGTTGGAACAGCAAACTCGCTGCGACTGGAGCCAACGGGCCAGCGACAAGGTTGCATGCTACGTGAACGCGGTCGCCAACGGGGTACAAGGGTGTGCGCTTAATCAGGCGCATACGATCGCGCGCTCCCAGCAACGTTATTGGAATGCATAAAAATTGGTCGTCGCTTAACTTTTTTATGTCTTTTCTCAGCTCAATATCTTAAACTTTCGAAATACGTCTATACGTGACTACTTAAGCACTAACTATATGTACAAGTGTGTATGTAAGCAGCAGTAACGAACGGGTGGGTTTGACTTTTTGTTGTGTTTGACCTTTATTGTGCCTTTTCGGCACCCACTGCAACGCCATTCGCAGCTCTACTCAACTCAACTCTACTAAGCTCAACTCATTGTCAGATCGACGCGAGTGATCAGAAATTGCCTGCAGCGAATTCGAAACGTCGTTACCCGTGTGCATTGATATACAGGCATCTCTCACTTCGCTGCCAAATAACAACAGTCATTACATGAAAGAAACGAAAAAAGAGGAAAATTAAAAAAAAATAATAATAAGGAAGCCGGATAATGCTCGAGTACTGATGGTGCTGAATACGTTAACAACCCGTCGTTAGTACGAATGCCGAATGCCAACCAAACTCAATGCCATATCGGGCGTCAGTCAATCTCTCAACTAGACAGACAGATAGTTAAGCCTTTTAGTAGGCGCTGTCGACCTGCAGGACCTTAAGCAGTAGGAACAAAACGTCGCTCTACACGCCGACTAGTGTGGGGTGGTGTGGAAGGGTGACATTGTTGGGCGGCGTGATTTGCAATCGAAGGCAAATTACAACACACTCCACTCCGAAAGACTAACCAGGCACGGGTAGGCGAGCGAATGTTGGTACCGTCGCTATGGAGAATAAGTGTTCGGCACGATCAGCGCTATTTGCCTATCAATGCAATTTATCCGAACGGCACCGAAACGCACGTCTGCAGCTGGACGACCGTAACAAGGCCCAACCCACAACTCTGGTCTGCCTGTGCCATGGCAGACGAGGTGGCAGACAAAGCGGCGTGACGGTAATCGTCTGTATGGAATTTGGTTAATGCAGGAATTGTTGTTGTTCTTGTTTAATTGTTTTGTTGTTGCTGCTGCATACAACGTCGTAATGTCTACGATTCACTCATTCAAACATTTCCCCGTACTGTTGCACCGCTTCAGCTGTGGCCTCGATCTCGACCTCGGCCTCGGCGTCAGCTCCGATTTCGACTTCCTGCTGTTTCATTTCTATTTTTTGGCAGCCGCTGGGTGTCACGCAGCGCACCAAATTACACACAATAACCACACTAATTTCCTACTCTTGTTTACCTGCTGGTAGGTTAGTGTTAAATACACATTCATATATACACGTTCATCTGTATTTATGTATATATTTACATTTCCTTCCTAAGCATTTGATGAAGCGACGATGAGATCAACCAATGACCGGCCGGTAAACAGAAAAACAAGTAAATAATTGAAGACAATTTTATGGTCGGTCTAAATTCTGGTAGTGAGCTTCACGTTTGCCCATATTACATGCTTACAGACATGTGTATGCACTGATATTAGAGGCTCGTTCGTCTTCGTTCCCCACCAAACAATGCACCAGTTGGTTGCGCCGGCATTCTTTTGTGTCTGCAAATCGGCTTAGCTCTTGGTCCCGTTTGTTTACCTGTGAAACGAATTAACCGAAATGTCTCTGGCATTGTTTTGGCTTCATCGTTGATCACTGTGCTATTGTTTGTTACTAATAGTTCCATTTTTAATTTTCATAATTTAACTCGCAGATTTCACAGCTACACTATTTGTATGTTCCCTACGTTACATACATATGTACATATGACACTCTATGCTAACAGTTCCTTCTACCTCTCGGACATATCCCCACGTCTGCTCCTTGCGCAGCTGCTCGCCTATGGCATGTTAATTCCCAGAATTACGACAGCTTAAAAAACATAAGCCCAAGCATGCGCGAGTATGCGAGAAAATGCATATTCATGAACTCATAGTTACACAAATCCACAAATCTCTCTCTAAATATCCTCGCCCTGTCGGTGCGATAAATATCGGACTTAAGCAGCGAGTATGACGTGTGTTTATGCTCGTTTTATTTTTTAAAACACTAATGCATTCTTCAGAACACTGCACAGTGGGAAAAGTTTTCGAAAATTGGTACTCAAAAATGGATTCACGAAATCTGCTCTGTAAATAATCATCTGTCATCCCAGTATTTTTTTTATGGCTCGATTAAGGCGACCTAAAAAACCTTTTTTGATTGGAAATGGGAGTGGGAGATAGACCGAAATCGCTCCAGTGGTTATCAAACTTCAATTGTATGTACTCGTATATATTATATAAATATAAGGAGTAGATTGCTTGTGTTCTCTTGCGGCCTTTGCAGTGGTAAATTGCAGTGCAGCTTGCATATAGAGAAAAGTGAAGAATCGGTTTGGTCCTGCAAGTTCATCCGTCTTCCAGTTTCACGAGATGTTCGTATGACAACGATGGTCTCGAACAATTTTAAAATTTAGCGTAGGCGAATCTAACGCTTTTAATGTTGCTACGATAAATTAAAGATGGTTGCTGTTTCAAAGCTTATCACCAGGATAACCTGACTTCTTTGAACTACGAGGCTTATCCAGAAAGTAAATATACTCAGGCACTGGTAGTTGGCAAACGTGGAAACGTGTATCTGCCTCGTACACATCCCATTATTCAACTACAATCGCGTAAGACACATACCAATGCTATCGGCCCGGACTGGATATTGCAGAGCTAACTAGTCGACTTAAAAAAGAGAAAATTATTCCAAAAATTATAAAAAATTTAATTTGAACAAAATCCGTTGAAATGAACTCACTGTGCGATCCACAGCGCACCGCTCGATGCACCCACAATGCACATATCAGGGCATAACCATTACTTATGTATACATTTTGTCATTCCATTCATTATTTTTTTAAATTTTTTCTTTTTTGCCAATCCATGGACTCTTTGCGGGTTGCGCTGCGTTTCGTACCCAAATTCGATTTAACTGCTGACAGTTTCGTAATTTGTCTAATCTTTTAATGCCTTCGTTATTGCTTCTGCCTCACATACACACTTACACACTCATTTTATCCTCTTCCCATTGTCCATTGTAGATACGGACGTGTTTTTGGATATGCCTGCCCCAGTGAATACTGAAGAAGAGGAGCGCAACATGAAACGTAAGTATTAAGTTTTCTCTCTCCTTTGTCTAATTTACATACATATAATATGTTGGCTTATTTCTTTTTGACACGAAATTATGAGAAAATCGTAAAAAGTTTAGGTTTATTGTAGAATTGAAAATTCAAAAAGTCAAGTCTGAGTTTTTTTACGGTTAAGCTGCGACGCAATACAAAAGAATCTCAATAAATAATATTTAATCCTTCTTTTCTATCATTCTTCCCTCACCACAGACTTTGCCGCTCTACTCACGGGTAGGACATCACATTTCTTGAAGGGCGAAGAGATGAAAGCTATGTATGCGACCGGCACTTATAATCAGCAAAATATTGTTGCTACGGGCCGTTTCTTGTTCCACAAAAAGAACCTCTACTACTCCTTCTACACTTCAGCGAAAAATAATCGACCACGTACCATACAATTCGTCAACGATGCTGGCACCATCCTCGAGGAGCACCAATTGCAGGCCCCACTCTCCGATACGCAGAGTGTGTATCAGAATGCGACTGGTAAGATTTGTGGTGTGTGGCGGCGTGTGCCACGTGATTATAAGCGTTTGCTGCGTGACGAACGTTTGTATGTTGTCTTGCTGTGGGGTAAGAAAGATCAAATCGATCTAGCGCTGGGAGGCAAGATAGCCTTGTATAACGCTTTGCAAAAGGAAATGTTCAGCTCGTTGTTGGAACCTGCTCCGGGCACCAAAGCTTCACTAATGAATGGCGCTGGCGGTACGGCTATTGTCTCGACAACTAGCGGCGCCGCAGCATCTGTTCACTTGACACTTGTCTTCTATGGTGTCATCGGTTCCGATGAACACTTGGATACGCCAGTCAATGTACGCGTCGAGTCACCTGATCGCAAAGAAATCGTTTTGGATGAAATACAAAAGGTGCGCAAACCCTCGTCAGAAGTAAATGTTTTGGAAATATCTTCACCTATATCCATACCGATGCTGCGTTCGATGTCGCGTGGCAAACTGCTGCTCACAATCGAATCGAAAAAGAATCCACACTTGCGCATACAAGGGCATATTATCACCCGAACCACTTGCGAACTCTTCCAGACCCTTCTGACACCACACAATGCAGAAGCCAAGACAAAGAGTAGCGGATTAGCCTGGGTATTCCTCAATACGGATGGCTCGCTTTCGTACAACATCGAAACTGATCACATCAGCACTAAGGACAGACCAGAAATCAATCTAATGGAAGACTTGGGTAAACGTAAGACTATGCTGGAGAATCTTACACCCACCTTCAATTTCAATCAAGCTATTGGCACAATCGATAAGCTAGGTCCAAAAGCACTCGAATCTCTGTACGAAGGCGATTTGGGCGTCAATATTGCTATTGAGAACGAGCCGAGCCTCATACGTGGTCATTTTGTGCCGCGTCCTGTTGCCGATGCACGCGACTCCGCTGAGCCCATACTCTTGAAACGTGTGGAGAATGCGACGGAAGCGCCGACACACGCAATGGGCATGGCTTGGCTAGCCATCGATAACGAATGTAACCTACACTACGAGATCACCGTAAATGGCTTTCAATCAAATCCACAAGACTTGCAAATATATCTCGAAGAGAAGCCCATCGAAGCTATTGGAGCGCCGGTAACACGCAAATTGCTTGAAGAATTCTCCGGCTCCTACATGGAGGGCTACGTGCTTGGCATGCCATCCATCGATCTCGTTAAACTGGAAACTAGCGTTTGCTATTTGGAAATCCACACAAAGGACAATAGTAAGCCAGTACTACGCGGTAAATTAAAGTCCACCAAAGTGCCATCACATTGCTTCCCTATACACTCGGATAACAATGTACCGAATGCGCCGGGTGACCACAGTGGCAGTAATCTCATTGCCCCAGATGCCAAGTGTTTCCATTCGGGCCGCTTTTATGATGAGTCAGAACAGTGGCACAATGCCAACGATATTTGTCAAATGTGCGCCTGTCAACGGGGCCAACCCACTTGCGAACCGGTCAAATGTCCGAACGTGCAATGCAAACCCAACGAAGAGCTGGTGCGACGCGATGGCGAATGCTGTTCCATGTGTATACCACAAAATGTAGCGCTGGAGACGGAAAATGATGCGGAACAGAGCGCAAGAGGTTGCCGTTTGGGTGATCAATTCCATTTGGCCGGCGCCATTTGGCATCCGTTCTTGCCACCCAACGGCTTTGATACCTGCACCACATGTACCTGCGATGTGCTTACATTGGAAGTGCGATGCCCACGTATGGTCTGCCCCCCGCTGCCTTGCTCGGAGAAAGTCTCCTACCGACCGGACAAGAAGGCCTGCTGCAAAGTATGCCCCGAAGGCAAATCGTCACGCGGCGACAAGGCCGGTCCATCCAATCCAAACGTCCTGCAGGACCAGGCATCGCACAGAACGACAACCACTGAAGATATACTCAGTCAAGGCGGATGCAAGGTGCTAAATAAAGTGTACGAAAACGGGCAAGAATGGCATCCAATATTGGCATCACATGGCGAACAGAAATGCATCAAATGTCGTTGCAAGGTAAGTACGCTCATACACACACCAAAGCATTTCAAATATGTAGCTAACTGACTCTTTTACTCCATACCCATACAGGACTCGAAGGTAAATTGCGATCGTAAGCGTTGCTCGCGCTCCACCTGCCAGCAGACCCGCATCTCAGCGAAGCGGAAATTCTATGAGAAACCCGGCGTTGGCGGCAACACAAACGAACCCGCTATCGACGAATGCTGCACGACGCAATGCAGACGTTCGCGACGCCACCACAGGCGCACGCACCAAGAGCGTGCGGACGAGAGGCAACAGCAGACGAAGCGCGCGCAACAGCAAGCGAATACAAATCGAAGCGGCCACAGCAGCTGAGCGCCACATACAGACAAAACGCAAAACAATTACGCATACATACACATAATAACGCGCGAATAATACAGCAAAACAAAAAAGATAAGAACAAAATCGCTATTTTCTGCTGATGAAAATGCAAGGTTTTGTCACTTTTTTTTAAATAAAAAACACAAACAAAACAGAACTGAATCTGAATGAGGCGATGATCGATGAAAGTGTAGGGGAGCGCAGAAGCACTGAAGCAGCGAAATATGTTTAAAGCAAAGAAAGCTATAAGTTAACCCATTAAGCGCCCAGCCAAAATACATACAAACATATGTATGTATGTACAAGCAAATTAAATGAAATGCATGCGACAGCACTTGCTGAATACGTTATTTGCAAATCAATTTAGGAATTATCAGTGCAGTTGGCTTAACGTAGAGAATGTGAGCAAGCAAAACAAAACAAAATTCTTTTCAAAGGCCAAACAGTCTTCTGTGAATGAAAATTTTTATAGTCATTGTGAATTTCTACAACAACAAATACCTTAATTGGGCAGCAACAGTTATCAGCCGCGTGTTGAAGAGATCGAGCGCGGCAGGGAGAGAGAGAGAAACAGTGCAAGAATGAGAAACACATCCCAAACGTTTCGACTGATTGACTGAATGGCATAGAAATAAGTAAAAGAAATTAAAAACAAAAAAAAATTTTGCAAAAATATATATATATATATTTACACATATGTATTTGTTTTTTTTTTTATATATATATATATTGTATTATCGTAAAATATTAATAGTACATACATATACATGTAGTTATTTATATGTGTGTAATTGCAAGCGTAATCAAACACACAAGCGCACCGCACACATACAGACATACATTTACGAGTATACCCCACACGCTTTCACCCTCAATCATTGTTGTTAATTATTACACACACACACATATACACAATTACATGTTCACCCGCACATAAATACACACATACATACATATCCATACATATCGACTCGTACAGCAAACCCACCCTTTCGCGCATTTTCACCACATAACTGTATTAATGTTTTATTATTATTATAATTACCCTTATTTAAACAAATTCGAGCTAAGTTTTCTAACTTTTATTTTTTGTGTAATATTTTAAGTAAAAAAAAAAAAAAAAAAAAAAAAAAAAAAATTAATGCAAATTTTTACTTAAACTTAGCTTTAGATGTTTTGCCTTAGCATTAGTTGGTTATTTTTAATTTCTGTTTAACACTTTTGTATCATACAACCAATTGCGAAAAAACTAAAAAAAAAGTAATACAAATTATTTATATTTGTAATTATAAAAATCAATTTTTATGCTGAGTAAATGCACTTATATTTCCCTCGCTTTGCTGTGTCGCGAAGTCAGACGAAATATTTTCATTCATTTATTTTTGAAAAAAAAAAGATGAAAACTCAAACAAAAGCAAATTTTATTGTCAGTGTTATCGCTTTAAGCTCAAAAGCGTTGCATTCTTTCGCAGCAAATGGCAAGCTAGAAAATTAGTAGGAAACAACGCAGCAAATATTGTTAGCTAAAACTCTACTCAAACTGTTTCGTATTAATTTATAAAAAAAAGTACAATTTCGAAAAACTTAACAAAAGTAAAATACGAATGTTGCATTCAAATATAAAGAACTAAAAAATCAAAACTTTTACAACATATTAAAACAGATTAATTTGACAGCCAAAACACCTGCGCACACAAACACATGTACAACGTTCTTCTACACAAAAATAATGGAATTTAAACGCAGCAATTGTCTTCTCGCATCTGGTTAATGCGAGAATTGCTAAAATCAACATATACATACATACATACATACATACATGCACGTGTATATATGTAATCGTATTAGTTTCTTTACTATTGTATTATAATTTGAGAATATTGTGCAACTGAAAATCGATTATTCAAAACTCTTAATTATTATTTATTTACAAAATATCTATTTAAATATATATTTTACATATTATAGCATGTACAAATATATTGCAGGAAAGAGGTATGTGTATGTATATTTCAGAAAAGCGAAAGAAGAAAACAATTAAAACAATTAAAATATACAAGAAACAAAATAATTTATATAACAGCCAGAGAAAATTTATAAAATAAACAAAAAAAAAAAATACAAAAAAACTATTCTGAAATTCTACAAATAATATCTTTCTTTTGAAGCATTCCTGCGTTTAATCCGTATTTAAACTTGCTACGTAATTGCTTTCTGAGCAGCGTCCGATCTATGACTGTCTATGGTCGAAAGTGGCAATCGAACGAGCTTTCATGTTGAAGAATACACGTAGTTGTGAATTTCACTCGTTACTTACATACCTAAGTTGGAGCGTTCGGCGTTTCGTTTCCTAACGCCAATGAGTACCATCGCGAGCTATCCGTAAATAAGAGCGCTAAAGTTTTGGCATTTTCTCTTTCTCTTCAAATTAATTTCATTTACTTCAAAGAAGAAACTTCGAACTTAGTCGGTCGACTAAAGTGTGCCTCCACAAGTTGAATTAATTTTTCAGTGAATATTTCACAATTTTAATTTGCAAAATACAATTTATTTGTCAAAATTTTCGGAAGAAAAGCAATATTATATAAATTAATTCGGTCCGTTCACAATAATGGATCCAGCTGCACATTCCCATTTCATTCGAAAACTATCAAAACTGTCAAGAATAATTATGGCCGTTTTCACCATCTTCCATCTTGGGTTAAGCACTTAACCATAATTTAGTCGGAAGGTAGCATAAAATTCATTTTCACAACGTCCGGTTAAGGCGCATCTGTCAAATAAGTTGCGGTTAATTTAAAACTAACATTGAGTGGCGATTAGCTTTTAACCAGAAGATAATTTGACAGCTGGAAATTGTAAAATAACAAATAAAATAGTATTCCGGCTTAATGTGATTTTACTAAATAAATATTGTTAATTAAATAATAATTTATTTGAATTAGCAGGAATAAAGCTGCGGATATTTTGCCCTTAACATTACGATTTTAAGCATCGGAAAATTTTATATTTTGATTCACTGGGTTATGCGGAATAAAAGTGGCGACTGCCAATCGGGTGGCTACCACGGCACTTGCCCAATCATTCCTCGTAATACCGAAAAAAGCAGGGAAATTGAGAGCACAATGCGCACATTTCACCGAATAGCAAAGTTTCCAAAGGTATTGGGGTGTTAAGATTGCACTCTTGTCAGAATCCAATCACCTGCCGAAAGTTTTCGAAGCAGAAAAGTTTCGAAGTTTCGAAAAGTTTTCGAAGCAGAAAAGGGTACTTATAAAATGGAAGTAATGAACTTTTTACGCAGGTGACCTGGCTCTGAACATGACAGCATTATTTATAATTATTGCTGTCTGAACCAGCGGATGGATCAAAACGAATTTGGGTGGTAGTGGTTATGGTTCGTGAGCATCTACTTGATGTGTCAACTTTTGCATCCCAATCTCCGCGCTGAAAGTCTTTATAATGAATATCAAATCCGTACTCGAAATTGCATATTTAGGAGCTATAAATTAAAAGTTTCGCCCAGCACAACTATGGAGATCATTGTTACCTGTAGAGTGTTGCACAATTTTGCTATCTAGAATGACTCTAGATCTCAGGAATGACCCAACCATATCGTATGGAAGAATGTATTCACAACGCAATTTTTTGTGAATTTACCTTAAAATATTCTCAATGATCAAACCAAACAGAATTTAAGTAACCAGAACTTGGTGAAAACGAAAATGTCACATCAGTCTATCTGACGGTTAGCTATCCTCCGGTCAAAGGTTATGTCAATCGGACATTGTAAAAACGGGTCTTAGCAACTGAAGTCTATTGACTGAGGAAGTTTATGTTGAATATGCGCCGACCGAGATAAGTATAGCAGCGAGTTGTTTCGAGGCTTCAAAAGTTGTGATATCGGTTTCGTAGACAATAAGATGAGTTTATGCCAGCAAGCCAAATACAATCGACGAACCGAAAGGTAACATACGAGCCGAAATAACTCCAAAACTGATTCCAAATAAATGGCGAAGTATATCCTAAATAAACCTTGTTCATTTGTCAAAATCGGCTAAAAATGGACAGACTTATTCAATGTTAGAATACCGATGGTCCTTCTAGACCATGTGCAGAAGTTCACGAGAAAATTCATCCAGCTACTTGACTGTCCTGATCGAAAAACACAAAACCAGATCGATCATGCTGCGATAGACGGAAGACATGTCTCCAGTGCGTACACTCCGAGGACTCAACATCGACTCGGACCACTATCTTGTTGCAGGGAAGATACGCATGCGCCTCTGTGTATCGAAGAACGCCCGTCAACAAACAAAAGGAAGGTTCGACGTTGAAAAGCTGCAATAACAACAGACTGTCGAGCGATTTTCTATTCGGCTTTCACTCGCCAGCAACTCGGTATACGGACCTGTGGGATAGCGTCGCAAACTCCCTACGTACCAGCTGCAAACGAAACTATTGGATTTTGTAAAGGTCGCAAAAACAGCTAGTACGATGAGGACTGCCGTGTCGCAGTGGAGAGACTGCCTATTCCGCAACCTTGCGATCGACCACAACACGTGCGGGAGGGGATAGATAGCGAGATATGAAGAGGGAAGCAAGACACATCTGCAAACAAAAAAGAAAGAGGCCGAGATGCGTGAGTATGACGAGCTTGAGAGGCTGGCCGATAAGGGTAATGCTCGAAAATTCTACGAAAGGATACGGCGACTTACGGAAGATTTCAAAACCGGAGCAAACTCTTGTAGGACCCAGAGGGGCGATCTAGTGACGGATCTATGGAACACATCTCTAGAGAGCTGATTGGCAGGGAAAATGAAACACACGCAGAAGGTGAATCCGAAACTCCAACTGATGACCATGGAAAAGTTGTTGCATTACCCGACTATGAAGACGTTCTGAATAGGATTCGCTCGTGTAAAAAACAAGAAAGCGGCGGGGACCGATGGATTACCGGCTGAGCTATTCAAATACGGCGGTGAAGACCTGATCAGGTGTATGCATCAGTTTCTTTGCAGAATATGGTCGAATGAAAGTGTTCCCGACGATTGGAACCTAAGTCTGCTCTGGTCAACCATTGACCAGATATTCACCATTCGCCAAATCTTGGAAAATACCCATGAAAAGAGGATCGACACCCACCGCCTCTTTGTAGGTTTTAAAGCACCCCTCGACAGCACGAATAGATTCTGCCTTTACGCCGCTCCGACAGCACTGCTTGCGAATGTGAGAGGGGCAGATTGCCAATCAAATAAACTCTAAATAGCGAGGGTCGCTAAGCTTGATGCCATTAATTAGTAAAGTGCTGAGCGCTGATGCATGGTGCCGTAGATGCTGAGCCCTAGCCAAACATGACATATGAAAAGATTTATATGTAAGGTCTCTCCCACGAAAAACGAGACTTTTCAGCTCGACCGTAAAAAAAAGAAGACTTTCTGCATAATTAAAGGGTGTTTTGTGGACGTAATGACTACCGATGCTGATGTTCACAAGAATATTTTGTTCAGCGATGAACCTCACTCTATGTTAAATGAGAACGTTAATATACAAGGTTGTCGCATTTGGAGTGATGATGCTCAAGAAGTCATTATTCAGTGCTCCCTATGGGAAGAGGGAATCATTGGATGGGCATGCTATAGAACCATGGGTAATGGCTTTTTCGTGCCTGGATTGGAGGATGTTGATGTGGGATGCATGCTATACCGCCAACGACCAATGTATTGAAGTAAACTTTCTGTGAGCGCATCATCTCGCATAGTCGACGTGGCGTGGCTCCAAGATATATTAAGCATTGCTAGACTATTATTTGTGGTAGTCGCTTGTCTACGCCTTCGGAAATAATATTAGGCGAGTTGTTGCTGACACTCGACCCAAATTGTTGCAATAAGTGAGCGAAAACAGGGACTCTCGACCACCCTGAGCCTACTTAAGTCGCTCATTAGCTCGTTTGGAGGCACTCGCTTCAATAATTTGCACGTTTCCCTATTTCCATTTTCTAACTTATGCTTGCCTCTTGGCGATATTCGCTTAATCTCTTTTCCAGTGGAACACACATTCTACCCACATTCACAGTAAATAGTCGGTATGCCTATTTGCCGGGAATGTGCGGTTTGAGTCGTACGAGCGCGTAAACAAGGTGTGACAATGTCAATATTTGCGATAATAAGTCTCATTTTATGTCATTTCATTTTTTATCGTCATGCCATGGCTTTATATTTGTTTACCCTGTACGCTTGTACATACATACATATATACATATATATATATAATAAGTATGTATTGTACATATGTGCATGCATATATAATACATAAGCAAATGTATATGCAATTTGTTGCTTCAGCTTCAGCTTCAGCATCGACATCGGCATTGGCATCGGCATCGGCAGCAACCGACCATGGCATTGGT